ACCTACTATAAAGGTGCTGAGTCAGTTAACCATATTGACTCAACATTTGGTTCATTTTCCTCAGTCCTTATGCAGAATCACAACTGTAAACTTCAGTGTCAAATTTTTCATCCCGTCAATTATCCTCACACCTGACAAACTTGGGGTATTTGTGACCTAACAATTTTAGAATATTGCTCCATCTAGTTTTTAATGCAAGTTCCTTTTCCTTTTATGATAAAGTATGGGGGCACCAAGTTCTAAGTTTTTTATACCCCCAAACTTGAAACATCTTCCCTTGAAACTATGACTAAACACTAACTTCCTATCTGTAACAATAAGGGTCAGAGAGTCCATTTTTTAATCTTTCATTTCGTTTCTCTGGCTCCATTTTCTAAAGCCATACTAGTTGTGTTTTGTACATTAAAACAGTTCTTATTAACACTTTTCTTAACTCCATCTAAATAACAGTATAATGTGATTCATTACGATTACTACCTGAGTTCAAATCACAGGGCTGTCACTACCAATGGGGTGGCCTAGAATATTTTTCTTCTGTAAGCCTCAGTTTCCCCACATGTAAAATGTGTATAAATAAAATGACATGCGTAAAAGCTTGCAGTCAAACGCTCAAAACAAAATCATTCTCTATTCATTCATCTTTTGACAAATGTTCACTGCCTACTGAATATATGCCTAGCACTATTAATTAATGTTTTCGGGCTTCCCTGGTGGCGCAGTGGTTGAAAGTCTGCCTGCCAATGCAGGGGACGTGGGTTCGTGCCCCGGTCCAGGAAGATCCCACGTGCCACGGAGCGGCTGGGCCCGTGAGCCATGGCCGCTGAGCCTGTGCGGCCGGAGCCTGTGCTCCACAACGGGAGAGGCCTCAACAGTGAGAGGCCCGCGTGCCGCAAAAAAAAAAAAAAAAAAAATAATGTTTTCCCCAACTTATCTTGATAAAGTCTTTAGATAAATAAAATCTTAAAAGAGTATTGCCCTCAAAAGTATTCCACTTAATATGTGGGAAAAATCTACTTAAAGCTACCAAATTTTTCTGTATTTGAAGTTATAGAAACCACAGTTAAAGAACATATCAAATTTATAAAGCAGTTTTAAAATAAACAGTTTTTACTAGTAACAACATTTCATCACTCACTTGATACAATTACTGCTTTGGATTTACTTTGTGGTTCTATGATGTAACCTATTTATGTGTCAAAAACGCTTTATGCAAAACTCAAGAACAAATAAAAAGGAAAAGATAAGTGACTGACAAAAGTAACTGCAGTATGCTGACACACTATGCCAAAATCACCTTCCTGTCAGAGGAATACAAGGTGATTTGTATTCCAGAGGAATACAAATTTGTCAGAGGAAGCTGATGGATTATGAGAAATGTGAAAGCTTCTTGTTCTTAAAGTGTGGGGGAGAGGGAGGTAAGGGTTAAAAACTGAATTGCAAAATCTCTGTCAAATGTGAGATACTATGATCTGAAGCATGTCTACGGCACTAAACTCTCACCCAGACTTTTACTTCTAGGGCTTCTTTTGTAAAACACAACTGCTATGGCTTTGCCCATGATAAGTCCATGTAATAAAAATAAATGATTGTATCGAGAAAAAGGAAACTGCTGCCTATCGTATGAATTTCAGTTCCATTGTAAGCCTGGATGATAAAAGGCCTGAATATGTGACTCAAAGCTTCTCTATGACTCAGTGTGCTATGGGAAAATCACCTTCCTAAATGAAAATCCTCTTTTCATAAAGAAAGTCACAGGACATGTAAAAGTGATTTAGAATGCAAGAAAAGGAAATATGCTCTAATTTCCAGTGTGACAATGTACAGACTTTAATATAATGTGCCAAAATCAACACTTCTGTTCTCAAACTAATGGTTTGTGTAATTCTACCTATAGCAAAAAACTGTTTTTTTTTTTTTAAAAAAAAAGCAATAAATGGTTATAAGGGGTTAAGGGATGAAGAAACCAGGGTATTATTGTTTTATGGGTAGTTTCAGTTTGGGGTGATGAAAAAGTTCTGGAAGTGGATAGTAGTGATGGTTATACAACAATGTGGATGTACTTAATGCCACTGAACTGTACACTCAGAAATGGTTAAAATGGTAAATTTTATGTCATGTATTTTACCACACACAAAAAATTCAATGCTATTAGCCTTAAAAATGAAAACATAAAAGAATAATGTGTTACTTGTTATAAATTCTTGCTCACCTAGGCTGATAATAAAAACCCCCCAAAGCAACTAAGTTAAAATAAGTACCCAATTAGATTAAGCAAACCATTAACATAACAAAAATATTCTGTCATTGTTGAAAAGACACTAGCCATGCCAGGAGGATATACTTATTAAATTTTATGCACACACACATTTATGGCCAAGATAATGATAAATTTGTACAACCACATCTTCATTAGCTAAATATCAATAGGAAAAGAAATCATGGTGGGGTCAATACATAATGCAGAACTGAAATCCTTGTTACTACAGAATCATCAGACTTGCATGCAATCTCCAGGTGTAGAAACAAAATACCTGTGAGAATGGAATCTGTATTTTGAATCTCCCCCACACTCTCCCTGGTAACCCAAACTGGGCCGATTTCCATTTGCTTACCACCAGTCCTAGTACGAGGGTGCGGACTCTCTCTCCTATTTCCGGTGAAATGTCATTGCCAAACTGCTGCAAGGTAGTGAGGAACCGTTTCAGCTTACTGAGCTGCCTGGCGCCACAGGCTGGGGGCAGCTGTTGATTAGCCAGAGAAGAAGAGGAAGAAGAGGAAGGCCCATTGCTAAAGCCATTGGGCGGTGAGGGGGCGCCATTCAAGGCTGTGGGTGAATGGCTCGTGCCATTAGTTACTGTCAGAGGGCACAAAATCAGAAAGAAAAAATAAACTTACAGAGAACATGCACAAGGAGATTACAACTAAGCATCCTTCCCTTTCAATCTAGTGAATTTGGTAATTTAAAAGCTGTTGGGCCTTTTTGGTAAAATGCTTTGACTTCCCAGGATTACCAGAGGCTCAGGTACTCCATAACTAAATGGGTGGACTCCTCACACCACATGAGGATATCCTGCACAGAAGCTGATAAGAAATGGGAGCCGGCTGGAGCACAGGGACAGCCCTGCCTCCCATGCACACATATGCAAACACAGAACAAACAGCATTTTGGATGTCAGCCTTTTGTCCCAGGCTTACATCAATATAACAGAACTATTCCTTTCTAAACTGCTCCCCTAGAGAAAATGGACATTTGGTGGAGACTAAATTTATCACTGGACATTTTTAATCATGTTTTGTACACACAACTGACAGCTGTGTTTATAGAAATACGACTTTCAAGTTTTAACCTTATACCACCCAATTAGAAGGCTATTTTCTCCCCCTCATATTTCTTAACCACTTCTTTAAGGAAAACACCAATTTTATGTAAGAAGCCAAAATGCATACGGTAATTATCAAAGAGTTATTTCTAGAAATCGAAAGGGGACATCTCAGTCCAACTAACAGCATGGATTGGTGGTAACTTCGTAAATTCATTTGATAAAATTTATTTGAACGTCAAGGTGATAATCCCTAAGAACCTAGAAAATTTTGCACATTTCTCACCAAAGAAAATGTTGACTTTACCATGTTAGATCTTTATCAAACCCATCTTTTAAATATAATTTTGATAAACTACCTCCAACAATAGCTTGAAGATGTTTTAAGCACCTTATTATTCTTAAAAGGTTCAAGAAAATAAAGTGGTCTCGTCCCAAATGAGTACCAAAGCAACCTGTCAAGAAATGACATCTCACTAGGACCTCTCAGAGGAGGCATATGCCTATCATTGTGGCTTTGGGTAACAACAAACCAAATACAAGATGACAGGGTTACAACTTGGCACTGTTGCAGGCCCCTGCTCCTTACATGTTTGGAAAGGTCTTATAAAAGGCAGCGCAACACTGCATAAATAGCCTGGATGTGTGTTTTGCCGAACCCTTATAATCCCAAGGATCTATTTTTGCCTATTAGTTATTTTTCATTCATATACAGATTTCAGGGCACACAGTCTGTAAATAGTATTATCTGCAACCAACGGCATTTATTAGTTTCACAAATCTTTGATGATATTTTAACCAGGACTTTCAGATGGATGAAAACAAAGCTATCTGCTATTCCTATTAAAATATACAGGAAAAAAGGGAAGTTGCTATTCTATCAGAATATTCTGTCCTTTCCTTGGATGACACAAAAAGCAATACACTCCACTGATTCAGAACACAAGTCTAGAGCCAAGTTGAAATGGAATAAATATTTAATAAATGTCTGACAAGTTCAAGACAAGAAAGATGCTCCTTATTTCAGAAAGTTTTCTGTATGCAACTGTTGCATAGAATGATCCCTCTTTTAACTTAAGAATGTTAGATTTTAACATTATTTGTAAATAACAGAAGAAAGTGGATTAGAAGATCAGAAGTAACCTGGAAATAATTATAGCATATTAACATGTTCCAAGTCAAAATGAACAAACTAAAATAAGGAGCTCCTCATTAAGTCAAAGGAGAAGTTAACGTGGTAATGATGAGTTACAGACCAAAGGCAGTGTTCTTCATTCACTGAAATCACAGAAGACTACAACTTTGAAACAATAATGAAAAGGCAGGCAAATACTGGCAGTCATACAAATTTTACCCAAGATATGATAATTCTGTGCTCAATACCTACTCACTGGCATATAAATTATTTGTGTGGGGGGGTGGGGCTTCATTTCTGCATAATACATTGATGCTGGATCTTACTGTCCCTTAATTTTTATTTGCAGGAAAAAATTTAATTTGAACTTGAAAACGGAAACAGCAAATGCAGAAATGCCTACTTACACGTTGTTGGTGTAAATGAACTGGTTCTGGGAGCTCCTTGAGTTGTTGGGGGAGGTGGCATCGTGGGAGGAGTCAGCCTAGACGGGGTCTTCACATCCACAGGTGAGTCTGGCATCGTGGAGTGCTTCTCAGTCCGATCTGGAGGATGCCACCATCATCATGTTATTTTACTCCTTAAGCACCTTAGGGTTTTTTTGGTACCTCAGTTTTATAAGAGAGGTTCGTCTTTTTTACAAGCAAGGTAAGAAATCCAACATCTTCTATCAATAAAATAGGCTTATCTACTGAAGCTTAAATCAAGACTTCATCATCCAAACCCCACTTAAGAAGGTGTAGCACAGATGGCAGGACCTCATTTCTAACTGGGTAATTTTACATCTTATTGTTATTTCTGGCTTAGACAGATGCTACCTTGGTAGTGTTATATGCAACAGCACAACTTCGCTTGAAGCTGAAGCCAACATTAGCAAGAGGTAAAAAATAGATGAGGAAGTGGGACGGTAATGAACCCCTCAGACAGCTCAGAAATAACACAAATCTTAGGCTGTTATGCAGGTGGGATACTGTTAGAAGTTGGTGTTTTGCAATGACTTTTTTGTAACACCTACCATCCCCTTTCCATGCTTAGTTTTCTAGCCTAACAGATGAAGCAGGCTATGTCTCCCAGACATAACCTCTCACTTCAATTTTTTTTCGGACCTGTTTGAAAAATCACCACTACATAAATGTCACAAAACGAAGTGAAGTTATTATTGACTTAGAACTTGTGAGTTTATGATCCACCATTTAAAAAATATGAAACCTGAGAAGTCCGTGCACCGCAGCCAAGAGTAGCCCCCACTCGCTGCAATTAGAGAAAAGCCCGTGTGCAGCAACGAAGACCCAATGCAGCCATAAATAAATAAATAAATTTTAAAAATAAAGAAATAAAATAAAACATAAAAAACCAATACTTCAATTAATAATCTCAGGCAGAGTAAGAATGGAAAAGTCCCAAATTGAGAACTAAAGACCTTTCTAATATTTTTTCATGAGTATGTGACAGGGAGAAATTTCCTCATTACCCAATAATGAACATTTGCACTGCAGGACTGTTTTATACTAAGTATACTTTTCCCTTGGAATTTTAAACTTTTTTCTCAATCTGATCTACTCAAAGAAACAGATCTCCAGTTAAAAAAAAAAGTTTTCATTTGTTTGTTTAGATCCAATTTTCTACAAACATGTGTACACATGCACACACACCCCCCAAAAAATACCTGAGGCGCCTCTTGTGGCCTCAGGCACAGGTATCTCCCATTTGGAGTTTTTGAAAAGTAACGTAACACAGACTATTAATAAAGAATGGGTCTCTTAAAACATTATGATCACCGTAGTGAAAAACTCTCAAAATTACTTGTCAATTATTAAAATGAAAAGCCCAAATTACTACTATGACAATTCCAAATCTACCTCCCCTTTATTCAAAGCAATTTCATAAGACTTGGGTTGCAATAGAACACAACTTTTGAAAGTTGAAATAGCGTTGACACCGTATTAGGGAAGAATGAAAATAATAATCATTCTAATAAGAGCACTGTGAATGATGATCCAGTGACCAGTATCAGGGTCTCTATGTCTTAGTGTCTACTGCCGGCTGAATAACAATGACTGTCCCTATTGTGAATTAAGCGTTCTGAGTGAGATGATTGTGAAGATGCATGGAGAGTGTCTCTACCTTTATCGTATTGTTAAAATTTTGACCTCATATTGCTATTCCAGAACACTTAACGAGTACCAGTGAATAACTTGTTGTAGAGAAATGCAGAAGTTAGGCAGATTTAAAACCACTTCTTTGATAGTAAAATTCATTGCACCATTTACTCACCTCAACCAACCTCAGCAACAAGGGAATAAATAGCTTTCCACTTGTGTTGCAGCTGAGGGAAGAGGTATAGCAGCAAATACAAGTCTCCCTAAATAAAGGCAAATATTTCCCTCATGCCAAGGAAGGAGGGATAAAGGGAGGCTTGCCAGAGTCAGCTGGGAGATAACAGTGGGAACTGCTGGTCCATCTGGTTTTCATTCTGCTAACACTCACATGGAGCTGTTAGCGAAGGCAGTCCAGACCCACAGATTTGAAGCACGTGGTTGCACAGAGAGAGAGAAAGGAAGAGCAGGAGGGGGAAGGGGAAGTGGGAAAAACAGAGAAAGAAGTAAATAAGTATATTGAGCAATAGAAGGAAAGGGTGAGAAAGAGGGAACAGACCAAAAAGCAGGGAGAAAAGAGCTTGGAAAGGGAGAAAGTTACCCTGGACAGTTTCACCACCACCAAAAGCTGAGCCTTGGTGGGCACAGGCCCTACCTTACTTGATGAAATTCTTGAGCAATACCTAAACTTGGAAATGTATCTTAAACACGCTTTTCATTACTCTTTTTCCAGTAGCCCACACTAAGGAAAAAGGGAATAATAAACCATAAAGTTGACAGTGGGTTTCCTCTTCAGACTCTTTTAAGATAGTTTGTATTTCTTCTGTCTTCCTCTGCCCAATTTTAGAAATATTTTTGATATATTCATAATTTTAATTTGAATACCTTTTGAATACCTGTCTTGGTCCACTTGTGTAACATGATTCCTATCCAGAATTTAATAATAATAATACCAACAACAATTATTATAAAACGTAGATGAACAACTTTTTTAAATTCCTGAGATGTCAATATTTTAGGAGCAATAACCACTGAGCCAATGAATAGAAAAACACCACTACTTCTAACAGGAGTATATACATTCTCTCTGGAATACATGTATACGTGTATGTATTTAAGATTTTGACATTAGCCACATTTCTGTGATGGCTAGCTTCACTCTGATGAAATGGAGCTCCAACCCAGAGGTCCTACAAACTTAGACAAAGTGGGACCATATGTAACTCATTCTGTGCTGTTCAGTGCAATCAACCCAGGATTGAAATAGATGATGAAATAACCAGCCAAGCCTAAGCCATACACACACAAAAACGCTCTGGAGTAGAGAGATTTAAGATAAATTCAGAAAATGTGTTTCAAGTATGCTGCGTTCTGTTGCATTTGTTTTGGATTAATAAAAAAAAAAAAAAAAAACATTTTGAAATATATATTCTTGAAACTTCTATAGCAAACAGCAAAAGAGCTATGATTCAACCATAGAAGCATTTCACTCCATTTCAAATTAGAGGATATAGTAAAACCAATATTAAGTTATAATATGTCTCATGTAATTTTTTAAGTTCATGAAAATTATACCATTCTTGCATGTAATCTCTGTTTTTAGTTGGTGTAGGGGAAAGCTGACATTTACTGAAAGACTGACACAAAATGAAAAAAAAAAGAAAGAAAAAAAATTGTCAGATCAGGGAATTATTTGTTTTAAAAGAACTGACTTTACTTCTACCTTAATGATTCACACCATTTCTAAACAAGATCTTCCCTATGCGGTAAGTTTTCAACTCCCATGGCAAATCTCCAACACATATGCACCAAAGACGGCTGATGCATGGAAGAAAATGTGGCATATATAAATACATTACCGATACCATTTCAATATCCAATTCAATGTCAGGGCCTTCTAGAAGTGGTATGTTTTCCATTTCCCTTTTTGTTGTTGTTGTTTTATGTGAAAAGGTATGGCATAATCTGCCATGGCACTTATTTTACTTTTAGTTAGTTCAAATAGTTCCAGATGTGTTTTTAAGGTATGAAGAATAGGCATTCTATATTTCCCTTGTTTACATACCATTCTAGAGATGATTGGTGTAAAAAGATTTCAGTATTGGTATAATGAATGGCATGACATTTTCCATCACAGTTCATCATGTCAATTATAATAGAAGAAGTATCTTGGTTTCATAGGTGTTATGGGTTGAGGAACTTTTTGGTCAATTAGTAGTTAGTCCAGAGTTAGTCTTATTTGAATAAGTGTGAGTTACAAAAGCTAGAAGGTATGCACTAAAGAGGATTAAGCCCAAGTGGAACCACAGTACTATTAATGGAAAGGCAGGAGGAACAAAACTGGTACAGAATTTGATTTTTATTTCTCTGGAAAATTTGGCAAATACAGTTCTGACAATTGAGTCATTTAGTGACTCCAGTGATTGGGTGTGAGATGTTACAAGCAACTGTCTGCAGACTGGAAAGGTAGCCATCCAGTCTTCACACCACCACCACCTCATTTCCCTGAAAAACACCTCTGGTAACATTCATTCCTGCTCAGAACCATTCAACAATGCCTAAGAATAAAAGTCAAATACTAACATTTTAAGCTGGATGTACTGATACAGTGGGAAGGATATTTAGCAATAACAGGAGAACTTCCAAGTTAAGTCAGACTTGGTTGCAAATGTAGACTCCTGACCATCAGTAGTGGCCCCTCAGGCAAGTGAGTTACCCTGAGCCTCAGTCCCTCATAGGAATGAGGATACAATCCTCTACCTCATCAGGACCCCACCACAGCGCCTACTCATATTAGGTACCAACACGTGTGAGCTCCGTTCTCTTTGACCTTCCACTTCACAATCCATTTATGGGTTTATTTCCAGTGTCTTTCCCCCAATTCTATGCTGTCTATATAGGGCACCCTGACATTACTCCTTGGCTTTTCTGCCTTTATCATGCTGTTGTTTCCTTTATCTAGAAGGACCTGTCCCATCTTATACATTATTCACTGCCCATTATAGATTCCACATCCTCGTACAGCTTTTCCCAGTTGCCCCAGGTGTCAACCACATCAGGTTTCCTCTGCCTCTCTTTTAGCATTTATCACAGCCCATCTGTACAACAGCTGTATATGTGAATGTGTATTATACACTCTAACACCCCAACCAGTGAAAATAGTAAGCAACTTGATAGCAATTTTTTTAACTGCCTCCTTAGGAAGACATTTAAAAAACAAACACAACCATGGTTTTCACTAGAAGCATGGTTACATTCCTAATTTTTACAAATCCATTCCCTATATTCCCTATATTATAGCCAGTTCAAAGATAGCAACCCTAATCTCAAGGCAGAAGACAAACACAGAACCATCAACAACATATAAATACATGAGGAAATAGAATACAGGTAATATGAGAAGATACTGAAAATCCAAAATTCAGTTCAACTGTGCAACCAACTTACTA